AATGTGATTTTCTGGATTTTTGTTTTAGATTCCGTCTTTCACAGTTAAAGTGTACCTATGATGAACATTACAGACCTCTACATGCTTTGTAAGTAGGAAAACCTGCAAAATCGGCAGTGTATCAAATACTTGTTCTACCCACTGTATATCCATTTAGAAATGAATCCCTTCTCTCTAAATCAGATTTCCAGTCCTGAGATATCTCCAGATCTCAATCCCAGACTGTCCTAACTAGGTAATGCTGGGACAGAGCCAGAGTGAGTCATTTGGCAAGATTACAGTAGAGTAGGCCATCGGTACTGAAATGTAGCCAGTCTGAGAAAGATAGTATTGTTAGCCTGGTGGAACCAGCCTGATTGCTGTATTCACCATTCCACACTGGGCTTATCATTCTGTTTAATTGTATGTGCAGTAAGGGCTGGATTCAATCCATAGTGCTGAACATCTGCATTGTAGCGCGGTTAAAATGTAACAGTAATTCTCGATTGAGCCGACATATGCAGCGTTTACCGTGAATGCAGTCTCTGCGAATGCGGAAACATTGCCTTTAAATTTCAATCACTCTATAACGCTGATCTTCGGCTCTACTGATTGAATCCAGCCATAAAACAGAATTGTGAAAGTGATCAGGCTGATTCCTGCAGGCTATAGTGTTGTCGCTGGGTTCCCTCTTAAATATAACTACATGTAATCTAAAATGTAATCCACAAAAGTAATTATTTATCACGAGAGGACCATAAACAATAACTAATGCTGCATACTACAAGAAAGGTTAAAATCTCACCTTTCTGTTACATTTTATTATAAATTCCTGAGATGTAGTCACTTTTGAGGACACAAGCTCAAGTACACAGTACAAATATGATACAAATATTAAAACATTACATTTTATTATGCATTTCCTATTAAACAAAACTGTATGAATAATGCTTAAAATGACATACGCTTTCTAAATATAGTATAATCAAATTATAAAACCACTAACTAGAAGATTTCACCTTCCTTATACCTGTAAAATACATATTTGTATGTTTAGTGTTAGTGATAATGTGCATATTTTCTGAAGGTCTCTCTTGATCAAAACATCTGTCCCCCCCCCATCATATTAATCTTGTCCATCTATGACAAAGTGTTTTTTGTTTTAAATTATTTTAAATTAATGGCTATAAATCAATCTCTGAATGTGCTACAGTGATGAAACCACTCTCCCCTGCTGCGCTACGATGTAAGGATTGCAGGCATGTGCTTTATGTAGGGGTCAGCCAGGAGTTGATTGACAGTTGGAAGAGCGATTGAAATGGTAGGAGGGACATCCCAGCTTCAAGTGGTTGCAGATTTCACATCCTACATCACACAGGCACAACAAATATACTACTGTGTCCGTGGGAACCAGGGCTATCCATTTCGATCTACGGTGTCCACAGATCGATTTATAAGCGAAAATGTTGGTCGAAACCGGTACCAGAACCACTCACCCCTAAACAGGGAACTTTACAGCTAAGAGGTGTTAATGAAATAAGATTAACATTTCTTTTGTGGTTTACTGGAAAAGTTTATTATGATAAAATGTGACAATTGTTAATACATCATAGTATGACATGTACTGTAGCCTGTAGTGCCAACATACAATTGTACACCTTCAAAAGACATAAAAAACAGTGATATTGGTTGGACGCTTGTGTTTCAAGAATATTAATTCAGCATGTCCTATAAATATATATATATATTTTTAAATCACAATATAAAAAGCAAAGCATGAACATCAGCTACGCTCCAAAATCACTGCAACAAAGCACTGTTTCAACCACAGTATTTACCATTATTTAGTCAAACAATTTTACTGAGAAAAGTTCTAATGTCAAATCAGAATGATGTACCCCCTCCCAAAAAAATAAAAATATCCGCCAAACTTTTAATGTTGAAACACAGATCAGCTGGAATTGATCCTTTTGTATCCCATCTTAACGTCTTTAATGTTAAAGTTGTTTTGGAGTGACTGCTTATGTTCGCTTAGCTACTAAGTGTGATGAGTTCAGAGAGTGAAAAGCATCATCATCCAATATTGGCACAGAGAGAACAATTAGCCAACATATTATGGCTAAATGAAATATTTACGTCAGATGCTTTTTATAGTTTTGGTTCATTTCAAAGGTGTTAGTTAATTCTTAATGTAAACGCTTTTTGTCTGTAGGTATAAGCTATACTATGAACACGGAAAGGTAAACTGTCTGCCTTTCCATGTCAATCAATCTCCTTCTCTGCTATTGCTCCAAAATGACCTTTTCAATGGCTTTTTAAGATCCATATCTAATAATAACATGAAGTAATCTCTCCCCACCTAAAGATATGCAGTTGAAGTCGGAAGTTTACATACACCTTAGCCAAATACATTTAAACTCAGTTTTTCACAATTAATCCTAGTAAAAATTCCCTGTCTTAGATCAGTTAGGATCACCACTTTATATTAAGAATGTGAAATGTCAGAATAATAGTAGAGAGAATGATTTATTTCAGCTTTTATTTCTTTCATCACATTCCCAGTGGGTCAGAAGTTTACATACACTCAATTCGTTTTTGGTAGCATTGCCTTTAAATTGTTTAACTTGGGTCAAACGTTTCAGGTAGCCTTCCACAAGCTTCCCACAATAAGTTGGGTGACTTTTGGCCCATTCCTCCTGACAGAGCTGGTGTAACTGAGTCAGGTATGCTTGGGGTCATTGTCCATTTGGAAGACCCATTTACGACCAAGCTTTAACTTCCTGACTGATGTCTTGAGATGTTGCTTCAATATATCCACATAATTTTCCTTCCTCATGATGCCATCTATTTTGTGAAGTGCACCAGTCCCTCCTGCAGCAAAGCACCCCCACAGCATGATGCTGCCACCCCCGTGCTTCACGGTTGGGATGGTGTTCTTCGGCTTGCAAGCTACCCCCTTTTTCCTCCAAACATAACGATGGTCATTATGGCCAAACAGTTCTATTTTTGTTTCATCAGACCAGAAGACATTTCTCCAAAAAGTACAATCTTTGTCCCCATGTGCAGTTGCAAACCGTAGTCTGGCTTTTTTTATGGCGGTTTTGGAGCAGTGGCTTCTTCCTTGCTGAGCGGCATTTCAGGTTATGTCGATATAGGACTCGTTTTACTGTGGATATAGATACTTTTGTACCTGTTTCCTCCAGCATCTTCACAAGGTCCTTTGCCGTTGTTCTGGGATTGATTTGCACTTGTTGCACCAAAGTACGTTCATCTCCAGGAGACAGAATGCGTCTCCTTCCTGAGCGGTATGACGGCTGCGTGGTCCCATGGTGTTTATACTTGCGTACTATTGTTTGTACAGATGAACGTGGTACCTTCAGGCGTTCGGAAATTGCTCCCAAGGATGAACCAGACTTGTGGAGGTCTACAAATTTTTTTCTGAGGTCTTCTGATTTCTTTTGATTTTCCCATGATGTTAAGCAAAGAGGCACTGACTTTGAAGGTAGGCCTTGAAATACATCCATAGGTACACCTCCAATTGACTCAAATGATGTCAATTAGCCTATCAGAAGCTTCTAAAGCCATGACATAATTTTCTGGAATTTCCCAAGCTGTTTAAAGGCACAGACAACTTAGTGTATGTAAACTTCTGACCCACTGGAATTGTGATACAGTGAATTATAAGTGAAATAATCTGTCTGTAAACAATTGTTGGGAAAATGAGTTGTGTCATGCACAAAGTAGATGTCCTAACCGACTTGCCAAAACTATAGTTTGTTAACAAGAAATTTGTGGAGTGGTTGAAAAACGAGTTTTAATGACTCCAACCTAAGTGTATGTAAACTTCCGACTTCAATTGTAACTCCCTTAACTCTCCGTATGAGACATACTGTATTTAGTCGTCCTTTCAAAAGCTGTTGAATAAGTACTTTGTGACGGCACTTCATATCCAATGCTGAATCTACATGTTGTTTTAGCTAACCAAATACATGACTCAGATATTGTGTTTATGAATGATTGTTTTCCTTGGTAAGTACTATTATGTAAGATAATACGAATGGTATGTTCATTCACCTTGAAGGCTTTTTGTGCAGACTTGGTGTAAGTAAGCCATATGTGTGTATATTGTTGGAACAATCACATCTAGTATGACTATGATTGAATGACTGATGATGGATTATGTTGATGTTGTCAGATGTTGCTGAAATTCACTGTAAATCTTGGAGCATCGTTCCTCATTTCCATCCATTTCTTCAGTCATCATGTACAGAGATAGATACATACAGTCCTTGTGTCAAATCATGTCTTCAGAGAGTTGCTTTTGGATAGTGAACTGTCTGTGTAACAGAAAGCTTGATAGAGGAATAGAGTATAAGTACAGAGTGGCTGCCCATTCTTCAGTTCTGTAAACATTCATGAAGCAATGTTTTATTTTGGTGCTGGGCTTTCCTTCCTTTCGAAGAATTTGGACATTTCAAAAGAAGGTGTGAAGAATATCTTAAGAGATGTTCAATTCCAGTTCCTTGTTCCTGGAAAAGCAAAGTTCCATTTCACTAAAACACTCAGATATACCAAGTACAACATACTGCACTTCAGTAACAGTACAGAGGAACTACAGGAGATATCACTTAAGAATACACGGAAGTATTCAGAGAAATGTGTAATCAGTGTGTCCTTCCAATGCAGCATAGAAACACAGACGTAAACAGAAATAAATGTATCTATTTATAGTTTGTTTTGACATTGAACTTCAGATCTTAACTTCAACTCAGAGACTGAAGTTCACCATCTCTTCAATGGTCAGCTTTGCAGTAAAACTGTTTTTTTTTTATCCACACAGCTGCATAGTTTCTGTCTGGTCTGGCCATCAGAAAGAACTATGGCCTATTGAGTTAGAAGGAATAAAAGGGCACTTTGTAAAAAACACAGCTGCAACATCCTCTTTTCTGAGAAGACAGATTACAGTCAGAGTTCATAGGTCATCCTCCTAGCTCCCACCCAGAAACAGTTCAGGTGGTGTGTTAGGATTCACGGTCGCTGTCCTCAGCCCCATACATGTCAGCCAGTTTCCTAAAGCGGGGCCCCCAGTCACTGAGGTAGTTGTAGTCCTGGTCCCCTTCAGAGGAAGCTGACCCCAGGGAGCTGAGAGACTCTGCCACTGAGCTGGTTCCCTCATAGGCATATGTGGCCAGAGAGTCATAAGGGGGGGCAGTGGGGTTACTGTCGTTATCCTGCACCCGCTGGTTTATGAAGTCCCGTACGTCTTCGTTGTCCCGCGACGGGATGGCTGTCCGTCTGATAGGGGGGTACAGAGTGTCCGAAGGGATGATGTCCCGCCTCTGCTTGCTATCCTCGATGGCCTCTGGGTTACGCAGAGCCCCGATGTCGAAAGCCTGGGTGTCCTCCTCTCCACCCCCCTCGTCATTGTAGCTGACCACGTTGTCTCGCACATCCTCTTTAGAGATGATCAGAGGCTCCTTCTTCTTCTGTCTCTTTAGAGCAGCAAACAGCACTATGATCACTGAGAGACAAACAGGGCGAGAGAGACAGACAGGGAGAGCGAGACAGATGGACACAGAGAGAGAGGGAGAGAGAGAGATGGGGATAGAGAGAGTCGGAGAGAGAGAGTCAGCGCTAGAGAGAGGTTTGCTGTTCAGGGCTGGTTGATTTCATATTATCTCGCTGCTCATGCTGCAGTGAACACTGCATTAGAACACGACCTGCTTCATGCATCCACAGCCCAGTAACAATTTAGAAACGACTGCAGTAGAGATGCTGAAAAATGTTTCAATTCCAACATCGCAATGAGATTGCAACTACTAAGTTATAAATAACCAAGAATGGTGCCACGTTTAAAGCTACAATATGTAACTTTTTGGGCGACCCGACCAAATTCACGGAAATGGGAGTTATAGATCTGTCACTCATTGAATGTAAGTCTAAGAAGTGGTAGATCTGTTCTATGTGTGCTATTGTCACGCCCTGGCCTATAGAACTCTAGCTAGTTTGGTCAGGGTGTGAATATATTCTAGGTTTTGTATTTCTATGTTTGGCCGGGTGTGGTTCCCAATCAGAGGCAGCTGTCGCTCGTTGTCTCTGATTGGGGATCATACTTAGGCAGCCAGTTTTCCTGCCTGCATTGTGGGATTTTGTTATGTTCATGTTTAGGCTTGTGTGTTAGCCTTTGGACCGTCACGGTTAAGTTTGTTGTTTTGGTTACTGTTTCGTGTGTTTATTAGTTAATAAACATGTTCGCCGTTCACGCTGCACCTTGGTCCATCCCGTTCCTTAACGTACGTGACAGCTATTTCTATGCTTCCCATTCTTTTACTTTTGGTTTTGTACACCAGCTTCAAACAGCTGAAAATACAATATTTTTGTTTATTGTAAATATATTTCAGAGCGGTTTAGATGGTACAATGATTCTCTACACTATAATTTGCTTATTTTGGCACATAAACTGAAATTAGGCGAACTATTAGTATTTTAGAAACTAGGAAATGTTGGAGGGATTTCTGCATATTGCACCTTTTAATAAATGTATTCCCATTATATGTAGTTAACGGTGCTGACGTAATATATATTGGGGTAATTGCATGACATATTTTATTAAAGTAACTCCTGGTGTATAAGAGGTTAATTTTACTGCCAGTCCTGTTGAATTACTATCTTGTCCACAATCTCAATCCCCTCAGACTTGTTTTGATCCTCTCTATATAAACACTTTTACTGTAGACAGCCAAGAGTGAAATAGGCTATCTACTGGGAAATGTAGGGCTTTTCTTAGATGCGCCTGTGTGTGTGTGTGTGTGTGTGTGTTGTGTGCCTTCAGGTAATATACAGAAGGGGCAAATTGAACTACACTATAACCTGTGGAATTTCTTATTAAATACATATTTTCCATACAGTTTCCACACAATAATATGAATGACTAAGTTGGAGATGGAGATGGGTCAGAGACTGATGGACGGACAGACACTGATGGACGGACAGACACACAGACAAGCTATACTCACTGAGGAGGATGATGACACACAGCAGGATAGCCACCAGGGCCCCGGTGCTGAGTCCAGCTGAGCTGGTCTGGGCCTCGGCGTTGCACAGCTCCATGTTGCCCTCGCGGTCGCAGGTGCACACGCGCACCGTCAGCGTCTCCGTGCTGCTCTGAATGGGGAAGTCCCCGTCCGTGATCACCACAGGAACCAGGTAGACGCTCTTGTGCAGTTGGCTGTAGCTGGAGCGCCGGGTTAGGACCCCAGCTGTGTTATCTAGAGAGGGAAAAAACATACATTTAACGTACATGTTAAAGACTGATGTAACAGCCACATTATAATATATACAGTATGTTATGGCTATTATATGTAGTCAGCATGGGTGATTGTTTAAACACCGACTGAAGAACTGAAAGTATGTTCCTTTGTTCATCACATGCTTTACTGTCTTCCAGCCTGGTTCATTAGATTAACCATAAGGTGCCGTAAACATGTATGCGACTAGGTATTATAACTAATTCACTATAATATCAGGCTATTACTGGTGTGATAGAGACCCCAAAATATCCTACAGTACAGTACTCACCTCCATTGTCTTTGACTGTGAAGTTGCCTCTGTAAGCCCCCTCCATAGCCAGACTGAAAAAGAACTTGTGTCCACCCACTGGGTCATCCACATCCACAGCACTCACCGTCTGGATCTTCTGTTAACGGGATAAACAAACAAATTGATGAAAACAAATAATAATCTGTGTTCTCTGATTAGTAATAACAGTTCATATGGTAAGGTGCTCTTTGGTTCCCCAGGCTTGTGACATTGGAGGACAAATTGGAGGCTAAACTTCTAGGATATAGACCATCTATATAGACCAAACAGATTGATTTGTTTATTTAATCGATGGCATAAATAAATAACCATTGTGGAAGATCTATTGTGGATGATTTTATTGAGTCCTCTCAAGGGACCTTGCGTGGTAAACAGGAGCGCAGCAAACACAAACACCTCAGTGAAATTATGATTATGAATAATGACAGAGGGATGACGGAGGGATGAAAGGCGAGGGAGTAGAGGAGCAGACGTAGGGTGGGCACCTATTTAAACATGCCTTTGATGTGTGACAGCTACTGTCACCTGCCTTGTGCTGCCATGATAGATTATCTCATCAGCCGCCACCCAAGTAGACCCCAGAGGACTGCAGTACTCATCATAATGCTTTATCACCATTTGCATACATGTGGTATTCCTGGGCATATATTGTAACCTATTGTAGCACCTCTAGATGTTACTAGAATATGGACGTAATTATAGCAGCGAGAATAATGAATTCATGGCAATCACTATCTATCATTGGACGTAAGTGGAGGATCCGTGTTCTGTACCTGTCCAGCCTTGGTCTTTTCACAAACAAATGTCTCGTAGAAAGAGGCGAACGTGGGTGCGTTGTCGTTGACATCTAGAAGACGGATATAAACAGGCACCCGACTGGTCTGCAGAGGTTTGTCTGTGTGTAGAAAACATACACATCACAACAATTATGTATAATAACTGTAATAAATAATTATGTGTAATTTTAGTTTTTTGATGTTTTAACAAAGGACAGAATATAATCATTGAACTCCATAGCCTTGGTAGAATTGTTTGTATTGTGAATTCATGTGCATGATAAAGTTGCCTGAGAAAGACTTACTGAACTCTGTTGCGATAACAGAAATGTTGTGCCAGGCAGCTTCTTCTCGGTCAAGAGGTCTTATGATAAATATGGACCCATTCCCAGAATGCACGTTGAAAAGCCTGTCTAGATCAGTACGACGATCAATGGAGTACCTGTAAAATATTGATATAAGATCGAATAAAAGCATGGACTATTTTCTTCCATTCCCCTACAACCTCTATTGCTGTACTTGACAACCCTTTTGCACGGAATTAGTCTCATACTTTTTAAATCCATTCATAGCTTTCCTGCCCTCTCTGTGTATTCACGAGATTAATCTGAATACTGCACACTCTGAGGATCTGCCCTAAACAGACAATGGGACTTATATCACTCTATTTTCATTCCTCTCTTCTTTACCCTGACTGGCCTGGAGGGAAAACAACCCTGAACAGAGGCACAGAACAGAACAGACCAGCCCTATCAGTTTGATCATCCAGCGGATTACGCAATGATCTAATTAAATGTATCCTGGAATGCCCTTTCAGTGTATTTCCATGAGGAGTGGTAATTAAGGGACTTTGGACATTGATAAGAACTCACTAAAAAGTTTGTGCGTGTGTGTGGAGATGAGCAAAACACACACCTTGTCCTTCACACCTTAGTCTTTCTATGGACACAACGTATTCTCGACTCCAAATTTAATGAGATGGCCGATTCAACTCTAATCATTCTACATTAAAAAAAATACTGTAACACAACCTTTAACACTAACAAAATGACCCCTCATACAAATTATTATTATAACCAATCTCCCCATAACCTTGGTGTGGGTGGTAGGAACAGGAGAACTGAGTGGGTGGGCTGGAGGGAAAGCAAAGCAGTGCTATAACTAACCTGACTGGACTGTTGTATCCATCCGGGTCCATAGCCCTGACAGACCCTACCGCAGTACCCATGGCTGCGTCCTCCTTCACCTCGATCACGTAGCTGGCTCTCTCAAACAGAGGAGGTTCATCCACATCCTCTATACCGATCCTGACTGTGGCCATGTCCTTGGTGGGTAGGTACCCAAGGAAGCGAGTGTCCAAGGTCTGAGTGTTCTGTACCTGGATCTCCAGTGTGTAGGATCGGGTCTTTTCATAGTCCAACGGCTGCAGGGACAGGGACACAATAGAACATAGTAGATGGCTCATGTTCTGTACTGATGCAGTACCAATGTATTTTGAAGTATTGCCTTCATACAATGGAAGATAATATTGTTTCTGATGGTCTAATGACCTCAGGTCTATCAGGAGCTGATAATAGGGTATACAGTGCCTTATTATGTATTCAGACCCCTTCACATTTTCCACATTTTGTTAAATTACAGCCATATTCTAAAATGAATTAAATTGTTATTTTTTCGCATCAATCTACACACAGTACCCCATAATGACAAAGCGAAAACAGGCTTTTAGATTTTTTTGCTAATTTATTAAATATAAAAAACAGAAATACCTAATTTACATACGTTTTCAGTAACAATTCCCAAGACAGGATTGTGTCGAGGCACAGATCTGGGGAAGGGTACCAAAACATTTCTGCAGCATTGAAGGTCCCCAAGAACACAGTGGCCTCCATCATTCTTAAATGGAAGAAGTTTGGAACCACCAAGACCCTTCCTAAAGCTGGCTGCCCGGCCAAACTGAGCAATCGGGGAAGAAGGGCCTTGGTCAGGGACCAAGAACCCGATGGTCACTCTGAAAGAGTTCCAGAGTTCCTCTGTGGAGATGGGAGAACCTTCCAGAAGGACAACCATCTCTGCAGCACTCCACCAATCAGGCCTTTATTGTAGAGTGGCCAGACGGAAGCCACCCCTCAGTAAAAGGCACATGACAGCCCGCTTGGGGTTTGACAAAAGGCACCTAAAGAATCTCAGACCATAAGAAACAAGATGCTCTGGTCTGATGAAACCAAGATTGAACTCTTTGGCCTGAATGCCAAGCGTCACATCTGGAGGAATCATGGCACCATCCCTACGGTGAAGCATGGTGGTGGCAGCATCATGCTGTGGGGATGTTTTTCAGCGGTAGGGACTGGGAGACTAGTCATGATTGAGGGAAAGATGAACGGAGCAAAGTACAGAGAGATCCTTGATGAAAACTTGCTTCAGAGCACTCGGGACCTCAGACTGGGGCGAAGGTTCACCTTCCAACAGGACAACGACCCTAAGCACACAGCCAAGACAATGCAGGAGTGGCTTCGGGACAAGTCTCTGAATGTCTTTGAGTGGCCCTGCCAGAGCCCAGACTTGAACACGATCAAACATCTCAGGATAGACCTGAAGATAGCTGTGCAGCGACGCTCCCCATCTAACCTGACAGAGCGTGAGAGGATCTGTTGAGAAGAATGGAAAAACTCCCCAAATACAGGTTTGCCAAGCTTGTAGCGTCATACCCAAGAAGACTCGAGGCTGTAATCGCTGACAAAGGGTCTGAACATTTATGTAAATGTATTTTGACGTTTTTTTTAATTTTATACATTTGCAAAAATTTCTAAAAACCTATTTTTGCTTTGTCATAATGGGGTATTGTGTGCAGATTGATGAGGGGAAAAAACTATTTTATCCATTTCAGAATAAGGTTGTAATGTAACAAAATGTGGAAAAAGTCAAGGGGTCTGAATACTTTCCGAATGCACTGTATATGCCCTATAGTTTTGGCTGACTATCTTTGTCATTCACAGGAATAATGGATGTTACCTTTAGAACAGTAATGATGCCTTCCTGTGAGTCTTTGTCCGTGATGATGTTGAACATGTCCAAGCCGTCCCCGCTGACAATGTTGTAGTACATCTCTGCATTCTTCCCAAGGTCTTTATCCACTGCTGTGATTCTCCCAACTGGGGTTCCAGTAATTATAGACTCTGGAACGCTGAGCTGATATATACCTGGAATCACAAACAGACACACATACTGTATTTAAATCAATGGATGTTCTATCAAATGAACTTTGAGATACTTCATATTAGACTATTTCTATTTGTAGCATTCACTCCCATTTCACCATTTGTGTTACTAATTATGTTGGAAAGTATAAGGAAAGTGTTTTAAAGAAACGGAGCCAGGACAAAATCAAATCAATGTATTTGTCACATGCGCTGAATACAACAGGTGTAGACCTTACAGTGAAATGCTTACTTACAAGCCCTTAACCAACAATGCAGTTTTTAGAAAGAATACCAAAAGAAATCACACAAAAAAATACAATATAAAAAATACGAAATAAAAGTAACAAATAATTAAAGAGCAGCAGTAAAAATAACAATAGCGAGGCTATATACAGTGGGTACCGGTACCGAGTTAATGTGCGGGGGCACCGGTTAGTCGAGGGAACCTGCCTGGAAACATGAGACAGAATTGCATAAGCTTGTCACAAATAGAAGAGGTTGTTTGTCTTCCTCTGGCACGGTGAGTGAGTGTTTTTCTGTGCCAGCTTCTCCTCAACACTTCCATGTTTCTGATGCTAACACATTTAACAATTCAGATTGTTAGGGAGCCTGTGAGCCTGTATCATTGCCCTGCAGCAGTGCTAGTGGTGAATTAACCTTGTGCTCATGGTGACCAATTAAACAGTGTCTGTTTCCACCTAGCATGGTGCTGACTGGTGGTGTAAGCCTCCTGCTGTAAGGTGTCATCAACTGACAAGGTGGCGAGAGAGATGTGAGAAGGCATATGTCACACTGTGTTTGTGGAGTGGATCAGAAGTTTTTTTCCCCCTTTAGTTTCCATCATCCAACCACAGGACTTCAACAGAATAGTAATGACTAAAGCAATCTGTCAAAGTCAAACAGATTCCGGGATGTTTCTCATTTGTGTGTGAGAGCGTGAGAACGTGACAGCGTCTGAGAGCGTGTGAGAGAGACACTCAGTATTACGCTGCTCATCTAATCAGGATTATCAAGCTGATTCACTTTGTGGGACCCGGCATTGCAGTTTAATCACAGCTAACCCTATATAAGATGGACACACTCACACACACAGTACACTGACACTAGCACTTATACTAGGACTACTATGAATACTTCAACTACCAGTATAATACCAGTCATTGAACCTCACTCTTAGCCTTCTACTCACTCTGGGAGAAGCGTGGGGGGTTGTCGTTGACGTCGGTCAGGGTGATATTGACCGTGGTGGTCCCGGTTAAGCCTCCCCTCTGGCCCGCCATGTCCTTGGCCTCAATCACCACCTGGTAGTGCTCCCGCTTCTCCCGGTCCATCTCTCCAGGCCCCAGGGCTGTCCTGATGATGCCTGAGGACAAACCAGAGGAATACAATATTAATGTGTCATATAATATAATGAGATGTATAGTTAATGAGTTAGCTAAGCACATTTCTCCTTCTCTGTACCTGTAGGGATTGCTCATGGTGCCACCATGTCAAACATATTTAAGTGATGTGGGTATAGTTAGAGTGACCTAATTTATGTACGTGTCCTTTATTTAAATACTGTATCAGCAACTACTATAGTTACAACTACCAATGGGAATAATGTAACTAATAACTGTTCTAAGAAAGAAGCACCTCTTGCAAAGAAATGGTCACCACATCAGAAAATAAAAACAGTTTCACATTGCTAAGACCACATGCTTGGATTTAACGAGAAACATTTAATACTGGTATGTAACCTAATTATTTTTATGGAACAGTAAAAAATGACTGACCTTCCATAATATAGCACACAATACCATCTGGCCTTGCTTGTTTTGCTTCTGTGAATGGGTTCTATCATCTAAAATATGACTGTTTTCAGATAAACCCTCAGAAACATCTATTTTTTCCAAAGCTCTTAGGATTTCATGTTCTCTGGTGTGACTGGGACATCATCTTCCATGTCACATCAGGGATAAACCATATCGTTGTTAAGCCACACAATAATCTGCCAGTTGGAGGCTTTTTATTGTTTCCATTTGTTTAAACACAGAACCAGCAATGGGATGTCCCAGAGTGCACATTAGAAATGTTTCAGTGTACTTTGGAAAATGCACAGGGGACTGAGAGAATAGCAATGGCTCTGGCAGTCTGACTCTGAACATGACATTACCGTCTCCTCTCTCTCTTCATTGTAGTAATAATTGCTTTGAGGAATGAAAGAGTATTGCTGGTGGTTCAAACAAACACAAAAACAGATGGACAGACAGACCTGTGCTTGGGTCCACTGAGAAGTATGGATGCCCCTGGCTGATGCTGTATCGCAGTTTAGCGCTGTTCCCGTACATGCTGTCATCTGCATCCGTGGCTGTTACCTGGGTGACTGAAGTACCTGAGAATGGAAGATAAAAGGATTTGTTAATAGCTGAGGATGAATATGAACTCACATCAACTGTCAAATCCATTCATGGTTAAAAAACAAAGCAAACAAAATATTTGACACTTTAAGGCACCACTGACCTTGAAATCTTACTGATCTTTAATCATCAAAGGTTAAAACGTAAATTGAAAGGTCATGACCTTGACATGTCAAAAGTCAAATTAAAGTGAAAGAGCACATACCTTTATTGGACCTCTCAGGTACACTGGCAGTGTAAAGTTCCTTGCCGAATTTAGGCTCATTGTCATTGATATCGTGAAGTTTAACGATGAACTCTGTCTCTGGCTCCAGTTTCAGGCCTGTGTTCTTGTTGACTACTGTGGCTCGGAGGGAATAGAAGGCCTTCTCCTCTCTGTCCAGTCTCTTATTGGCATGGAGGTCACCATTGTTTTCATCAATGGTAAATATGTCTCCAGCCCCGTCCCCGGTTAGAATGTACTTCAGGGTTCCATCCCCCTTGTCCATGTCGGATTGGAGCTGCCGTAGAAAATCAAAAGCATAGTCAAAATATTTGTCTCCTTGGAGAAATGGGGCCTGAAGTCAGCAAGGCAAATACCAGATGTAAACTACAGATGTACAGTGCCTTGCAAAAGTATTCATCCCCCTTGGCGTATTTCCTATTTTGTTGCATTACACCCTGTAATTTAAATGGATTTTTATTTGGATTTCATGTAATGGACACACACAAAATAGTCCAAATTGGTGAAATGAAAGAAAGAAATAACGGAAAAGTGGTGGGTGCATATGTATCCACCCCCTTTCCTATGAAGCCCCTAAATAAGATCTGGTGCAACCAATTACCTTCAGAAGTCACATAATTAGTTAAATTAAGTCCACCTGTGTGCAATCTAAGTGTCACATGATCTGTCACATGATCTCAGTATATATACACCTGTTCTGAAAGGCCCCAGAGTCTGCAACACCACTAAGCAAGGGGCACCACCAAGCAAGCGGCACTATGAAGACCAAGGAGCTATCCAAACAGGTCAGGGACAAAGTTGTGGAGAAGTACAGATCAGGGTTGGGTTATAAAAAATATCAGAAACTTTTAACATCCCACAGAGCACCATTAAATCCAAATGGAAAGAATATGGCACCACAACAAACCTGCCAAGAGAGGGCCGCCCACCAAAACTCACGGACCAGGCAAGGAGGACATTAATCAGAGAGGCAACAAAGAGACCAAAGATAACCCTGAAGGAGCTGCAAAGCTCCACAGCAGAGATTGGAGTATCTGTCCATAGGACCACTTTAAGCCGTACACTCCACAGAGCTGTGCTTCACGGAAGAGTGGCCAGAAAAAAGCCATTGCTTAAAGAAAAAAATAAGCAAACACGTTTGGTGTTCGCCAAAAGGCATGTGGGAGACTCCCCAAACATATGGAAGAAGGTACTCTGGTCAGATGAGACTAAAATTTAGCTTTTTGGCCATCAAGGAAAACTTTATGTCTGGCGTAAACCCAACACCTCTCATCACCCCGAGAACACCATCCCCACAGTGAAGCATGGTGGTGGCAGCATCATGCTGTGGGGATGTTTTTCATCGGCAGGGACTGGAAAACTGGTCAAAATTGAAGGAATGATGGATGGCGCTAAATACAGGGAAATTCTTGAGGGAAACCTGTTTCAGTGTTCCAGAGATTTGAGACTGGGACGGAGGTTCACCTTCCGGCAGGACGATGACCCTAAGCATACTGCTAAAGCGACACTCGAGTGGTTTAAGGGGAAACATTTAAATGACTTGGAATGGCCTAGTCAAAGCCCAGACCTCAATCCAATTGAGAATCTGTGGTATGACTTAAAGATTGCTGTACACCAGCGGAACCCATCCAACTTTTAGGAGCTGGAGCAGTTTTGCCTTGAAGAATGGGCAAAAATCCCAGTGGCTAGATCTGCCAAGCTTATAGAGACATACCCCAAGAGACTTGCAGCTGTAATTGCTGCAAAAGATGCCTCTACAAAGTATTGACTTTAGGGGGGGTGAATAGTTATGTTTTTTTTGTCTTATTTCTTGTTTGTTTCACCCCAAAAAATATTTTGCATCTTCAAAGTGTGTTGTGTAAATCAAATGATAAAAATCAATTTTAATTCCAGGTTGTAAGGCAACAAAATAGGAAAAATGCCAAGGGGGGTGAATACTTTCGCAAGCCCCTGTAGGATCTTAATTTGATCACTTTTGTTGCTGAGAATTTTCCTGCACGGCAGGAAATGCAAACTTGTAGTGTATTCAAGGTTTTAAAAGGCTTCTAAAGTCTAATTTCCACTTTAAAATGTGAGACTTGATTTAGCCTAATGAAAAATGTATCAACCTCTACCCAAATGTTTAATTAATTATAATCCACATAATAATTAACATTTCCTGTTGCTGCAGGATTATATTCCTGCTGTAGCAAACTGGCTCAAATTAAGATCCTACATCTGTATCTACTATACAATAACTGCGTTCAACAGACCTGGGGTTTATTCCATATATATATATATACACTCCAGTCCATTTAGGGATTGGACTAGCACGCAATGGGGAAATTCCCTATCTAATTTAAAATAAAAATGGACTTGACCCCAACTCTGGAGGTCAGCTAGCAAAACACCAACAGATTTACAGTTTGCATTAGATGGTGTGACAGTTGATGGGTTGTGAGGAGGAGTGTGAGTGACAGGTACGGCAGGTGACGGGTTCTGATGGTGAGTGACTCATTCTGTCTTTCTATAATATGGTCTTGCTTTGCTGACAATACCTTGATTTGTATTAGGACAAAAAATCTAAAAAGTAACGCTCCGGTTTCTCTGTACCGCCATAATTGGCTTGTAAAGGTTACAGTGAGGGAAAAAAGTATTTGATCCCCTGCTGATTTTGTACGTTTGCCCACTGACAAAGAAATGATCAGTCTATAATTTTAGTGGTAGGTTTATTTGAACAGTGAGAGACAGAATAACAACAACAAAATCCAGAAAAACGCATGTAAAAATTTTTGTAAATTATTTTGCATTTTAATGAGGGAAATAAGTATTTGACCCCCTCTCAATCAGAAAGATTTCTGGCTCCCAGGTGTCTTTTATAAAGATAACAAATTGAGATTAGGAGAAGTTACAGGTCTGTGAGAGCCAGAAATCTTTCTTGTTTGTAGGTGACCAAATACTTATTTTCCACCATAATTTGCAAATAAATTCATTAAAAATCCTACAATGTGATTTTCTGGAAAAAAAAATCTCAATTTGTCTGTCATAGTTGACGTGTACCTATGATAAAAATTACAGGCCTCTCTCATCTTTTTAAGTGGGAGAACTTGCACAATTGGTGGCTGACTAAATACTTTTTTTCCCCACTGTATGATCTACCTTTTGTCTATCTACACTGCTAGAGATTATACAGTAGCCTACTACTACACCAGTCCAAACAGAGATTCACTGAATGAATCAGTGAACATCCCCGTGCCCTCTAAATGCCCTCTTATCACTGTCATTGAAAACACACAGCAAGCCAGGTAATTGTCAAAGTACAAGGCCGTCTCAGAACATGCACACTTGAATGAAACGGGAGTTGACAATGATTGAGGGAAAGAAAGGAGAGAGTCTTTGAAAACGAAAAAGCCAAGATGGTATGAAGCCTTGACATAACAAAGGATGAATGATTGAAGCCTCCCACAGATGTCTTAGAAAATCACCTAAATCCAACATGTAACACATAATACCTGCAATTCCCCTCTGAGCACATGTTTCTGTCTCATCTCATCTCTTATTCCCATGCCTCTAAATAGACATTATGCAACTCTGAGCAATGGGCATAGAATGTTTTTTTATCCTCTATCATGCTCAGTGTGTGTCCCATCTTTACTACATCACACTTATATGCACTTCAACCGTGATGTGTTGATGTTGGTGGTACACCTAAGCACATAGGCGGCGTTCCATAAGGCTAATGGAAGCTAAGTCTCTCCTAATGTAAATTTAAATTGCCAAACTGAAAGACCAAAATTCGCTAAAGAAAATTGTGATGAATAAAAAAGTATACCAGTTTCATTTAAGGACCAAAACATTTACAGCTGCACCATACAGGTTGCAACATAGTTGGGAAGAGATTTGCGATGTACTGATTCCATGGCACATGGTTTATGAACTGATCCATAAAACGACGCCGGATTCAAAACAGAGTTTTTCAATTAAAATGATTATACAAAATTCTTGCAACCAATATAATGTTATACACTACCAGTCAAAAGTTTGGACACACCTACTCATTCAAGGGTTTTTCTTTATTTTTACTATTTTTTACATTGTAGAATAATAGTGAAGACATCAAAACTATGAAATGACACATATGGAATCATGTACACTGCTCAAAAAAATAAAGGGAACACTTAAACAACACAATGTAACTCCAAGTCAATCACACTTCTGTGAAATCAAACTGTCCACTTAGGAAGCAACACTGATTGACAATACATTTCACATGCTGTTGTGCAAATGGAATAGACAACAGGTGGAAATTATAGGCAATTAGCAAGACACCCCCAATAAAGGATGGGTTTTGCAGGTGGTGACCACAGACCACTTCTCAGTTCCTATGCTTCCTGGCTGATGTTTTGGTCACTTTTGAATGCTGGCAGTGCTTTCACTCTAGTGGTAGCATGAGACAGAGTCTACAACCCACACAAGTGGCTCAGGTAGTGCAGCTCATCCAGGATGGCACATCAATGCAAGCTGTGGCAAGAAGGTTTGCTGTGTCTGTCAGCGTAGTGTCCAGAGCATGGAGGCGCTACCAGGAGACAGGCCAGTACATCAGGAGACGTGGAGGAGGCCGTAGGAGGGCAACAACCCAGCAGCAGGACCGCTACCTCCGCCTTTGTGCAAGGAGGAGCAGGGGGAGCACTGCCAGAGCCCTACAAAATGACCTCCAGCAGGCCACAAATGTGCATGTGTCTGCTCAAACGGTCAGAAACAGACTCCATGAGGGTGTTATGAGGGCCCGACGTCCACAGGTGGGGGTTGTGCTTACAGCCCACGGTGTTGGGCTGTAAGCACAACCCCCACGTGCAACCCCCATGTGCAGGACGTTTGGCATTTGCCAGAGAACACCAAGATTGGCAAATTCACCACTGGCGCCCTGTGCTCTTCACAGATGAAAGCAGGTTCACACTGAGCAACGTGACAGACGTGACAGAGTCTGGAGACGCCGTGGAGAACGTTCTGCTGCCTGCAACATCCTCCAGCATGACCGGTTTGGCGGTGGGTCAGTCATGGTGTGGGGTGGCATTTCTTTGGGGGGCCGCACAGCCCTCCATGTGCTCGCCAGAGGTAGCCTGACTGCCATTAGGTTCCGAGATGAGATCCTCAGACCCCCTGTGAGACCATATGCTGGTGCGGTTGGCCCTGGGTTCCTCCTAATGCAAGACAATGCTAGACCTCATGTGTCTGTAGTGTGTCAGAAGTTCCTGCAAGAGGAAGGCATTGATGCTATGGACTGGC